CTTTGAGCTAGTAAAAAATAATTGAATGTGCAGTATAAGTTGAAACAGAAGGTATTTAAACACGAAGTTGGCTGTTAATGCATATATATTGCACATTAATTTTATAAATTAAAAAAAAAACATAAATATTATTTTTAAATATTTTTTTTTTCAAGGCTTACCGAGTTTACCGAGTTTTAGAAAAAAGTAACGATTTCATTCGATATTTTCGTTACAAGTACTTGTACTTTTTCCCTAAAAAGGTAACGAAAGTACAAGTAAAAGTACTAAATTTGAAAAGTAACGAAGTACAAGTAAAAGTACGTACTTTTTACTTGTACCGGTGGTACAAGTAACGAAAGTAAAAGTACTGCCATATATGCACACAGATGCTCCGTAGCGTAGAAGCGAAGGATTCGTATCACACCTTAAATCTGGATCTATCTTCGTGATGTTCTTTCTCTAATTTGGGTTAACTGTTCTTCAACTTGGCAAGGGCATATAAGCCGTAAATTTTAGTGAGTACACAAGCCTGCATATGCATGTAAAAGACAAGCACATATGAACAAATTCATAAGAGCCTCCCTGCTTAAACGGTATCATTCTCCAAACGCTCTGTAACGTGGAGGCAGAGGGTTCGAATTCTACTGTAACTCGTTGTAACTTTGTGGCTGTCCTTTCCTGAATAGTACTATCTGTGTTTCTACTTGAAAAGTAGGTAGGCATTTTATTTACGTCGCACTAGAGCTGCAAAATGGACTATTTTTCGTCGGTCAGGGAAACATCTCTGAGGATGATTCAAAGATATGCCATCGCAATTTTGATCGTCTGCAGAGGTATCCATTTCTTTGGTAGCCCGATGACCTGCACGCGAAGTCGAGCACTTTACGGTAGAACAGTTTAACGAAGACCGAAATCACGCATCCTCGGTCCCTACGCAGGCTGATCAAAGTGGTCACCCACCCGCTTCCAGTGATGCTCAACTTCGGTGTGTTCTACTGGGAACTGTGTTTTTACGATCAGTCCACTGTGGGGCTTCTACTTGACAAAGGTTTATAAGACGTACTTATATAACTGAGCACAAGAACCTGCCTGTATGCGTACCGATAAATGACTAAGAGCAAATTCATAAATCAAGTGATCATTTCCATGCCAGAAAAAGATTAGTACCGAATCTGTAAAGTACCAAAATGATAGTTTGCTTTATGGACTTGTTATTATTGCGTTGTTTGGCACTGATGAAGTTTTTTCTCCTCATAATGCGGAAGGTATTATTTTATTTACATCGATCTAGAACCGCACAATGAGGTGACGGTCTGAGAAACACCCCTGAGGATTATTCAAACACATGCTACGTCAATTTTGATATTCTGCGAAAGGGATGGCTTCCTCGCTTTGGTAGTCAGGCGACTTGCACGCGAAATTTAGAGCAGTTTAACAAGGACCGATACCACACACCGTTGGTGCCTTCGCAGTCTGATCAACTTGATCACCCACTCACTAATAGACTGCAATCAGTGATCACTTCAGCAATCTACTGGGTAACGATCAGTTTAGGAGGGAAAATGATACGGTGGGTATCTTGTTCATTCATGTTTATTAAACTGTTCGGTAAAGGCGAAGTGCCTTTCCTCTGTATCATACGGTAATCAAAGCTTGCTGCATAACATGTTTACTTTATGAGTTAGTTCGCCTGATAAAACTTCGAGATATTTCCAATAACCATCTTTCAACTTCTCTGGTAACTCGGACTCAGCTAAATAAATTCGTGTTGTAAAGTTAAATGAAGCAAACGTAACATCATTTCTCGTGAGAAATTTTGGTCAAAAATATCATCTGGAACCTTCAGCAATTAATTTACTGACGTCCCTGGCCGAGAGATATGGCCCGTTAAACGCCGTGCAAAGCGTGGAGGTAGCGGATTCGAATCCTGCTACACCTTGGATGTACCTTCGTGCTATCCTTCTCATTGTTTATTGTTCTATCTGTCCCATTTGACAAAGGTTATAAGCCTAAATTGAGCACACAATCTTGCATATGTATGTAATTCCAATAAATAAATGAATAATAAACAAATAAGCAATTAATTGATTTGTTAAACCCCTTCTGGACCACGATTACATATTTACGTGATTGCATGATTCTCCCTTTGCTGCCTACGGTATCATATGAGCCGCTCAGAAGCCAATGCGGTTAAGTCCATTTTTTGATATTTTCTGATTTTTGGAAATTTTGATGAAATAAATAATAATCTTCTTAGTTTTTAAAGGATTTACTCGTTGGTTACTTTTTTCTAGGTTAGACAGCCCTTTTTTTAATAGCTTCTGAATATATTGTATAATAATTTCAGAAGCCATTGTGAATAAGTCCACCTTTTATCAGTATTTTTTTACATAAGCTTTGAAATAAAAATTAAATTATTCTTCTTCTTTCGATATTTGTTGGTAACACTGAAAAACAAGAAACTCATAGTAATCAGGGTTGCCAGACGTAGTATTTTTTATACTACGGTAGTATTTTTTCACCAAAAAAAGGGGTATGGTTTTTTCGTAGTATTTTTTTAAAATGTGGTATTTTTAGTTTTTTTTTTATTTATTTATTTTATTTTCATTTCCTAAAACAAAGAAAAGTGCCATTCTAGTTTTGAAGTAAAAAACAATTTCTGAAATAATCCAACAGTTTATTTTCTATTAGTCACTGTATCTAGTGATGATTGTGAAAAATAAAAGTTCGTTTATACTAGTAGACTATATATATTTCTTATCTTTTTCAGCTGCCAAAAGGTATAAGTCCTAAAATTTTTAAGATGCTGTCATTATTTCAATAAATACTTACGTTTTTATTTACACATCCTGTATTTATCTTGTTTTTTGCAGAGTTTACACCTCGAAAAAAGACTTTATACACTTTCCTAATTAAATTAATAAACCAAGAATTTTAAAAACTAATGTATCAAAAAACATCAATTTTCTCAATTTTTGTGTTTTGGACTTAACCGCATTGGCTTCTGAGCGACTCATATATGAAACGAGCTTTTCTAGCTAAAATGGCATAAGATCACACAGACGTAATCGCAATTTAGTACTCTCGTTTTAGTACACGTGTGTATTCTTTAATACTGGTATTAATACATATACACATTCTTTGGTAGTAAATTCGGAGCGAGCGGGCCTGGGTTAATGTTTCTTTCTCTTTTCGCCAGTTCTGAAGCTGTTAGCAAAACTCATGCAACACGGCAGCAAAGTTGTTAGAAAAACTCAAACTGGGAAGCAAAACTCATATTATAAAAATGTGGCATGTCATGATTCGCGGTGTATTTTAAAATACTTTAAAACACAATGTTTTGTAGTTATTTTTACTTAAAAAAAAAGAATGTGTTACCAACCACGAGGGTCAGCTTGGTGATGGATGAAGGTTGTGGTGCTATACTGAAACGAAAACGCCCTTTTTTGTTTGTGGTGTATCGGTGGCACCTGTTGCTGTCCTCTTCTCTATCATAGGGAGACCATCCTGAGTGACTTCTCTGCATGTTACGGTCATAGACGCAGATAGTAATTTTCTCCGATGGTGCAGCTTCCCCATCAGCTTTCCTAACTTGAACCTGAAGAAAAGGAAAGAAAGCAATGAAAAAATAACTTAATGACTTAAGAGGTAGGTATTTTATTTACGTCACACTGGAGCTGAAATAATGGGTTATTTTATTTTATTTTAAAACCATCGTTTTATTATTTTAGTTGCAACTTAAAGGAAGGACTCGTTAGGCCTCCCGCAACCATACTATTTCACTATTTTTAGGAAGAAGGATATGAACAATCCTGTGCAAGGTTACTATTTGGCGATCGTATGACAAAAATACTTATTTCGTAATCTTTATGTGTATTACTTTAACATAATATTTTATAATTTAGATTACATTTCTCTCTTTTGAGTGAATAGTTTGTCCTTTTTGAGATATTTTGCTTCAATATATTTAATTAGTTAGAGTAACGAAAGGTATTTTGTTGCAATATATTTAATAAGCTAGAGTAACGAAAGGTATTTTGCTGCAATACATTTAATTAGTTAGAGTAACGAAAGGTATTTTGCTGCAATACATTTAATTAGCTAGAGTAACGAAAGGTATTTTGTTGCAATATATTTAATTAGCTAGAGTAACGAAAGGTATTTTGCTGCAATACATTTAATTAGCTAGAGTAACGAAAGGTATTTTGCTGCAATATATTTAATAAGCTAGAGTAACGAAAGGTATTTTGCTGCAATACATTTAAATAGCTAGAGTAACGAAAGGTACAATAGCTGATGATAAAGCGAAGTAAGTGACTGAAAAAGAATTTCCTGTTTGCGTTCGGCGCGCAGTAAGGGTTGTCTCGATTTCAAGTGCGGAGACGTTTCTCCTCTTACTCCCGAGCCTAAATGAACTCTTCGTCCAAGGAGGTGGAGCCAAGTGTCAACTCCTGGTGAACGAACTATACTTGTATGTGGGTGGTTTCAGTGAACAGAATGTTGCGAATTTTGAAAACCGTGGCTATTTCAGTATTGATAGCACGAATTTTGAGTAAGGAAAAATTTATTAAAAATAATAGGACATGATACGAGTTAGCCTTGTTTATATGATGATACATAAGGTAGATATGAGATCTTGCAATTTTTGCAATTGCATCACGAAATCCTGTCGTGGTCCCCTTGTTATATAGGTATAAAAAAATTTAAAAAAGCAAAGGTTAAAGTGAACTCCATGAAAGTGAAGTAGAAAGAAATACTTGATAATGTTAGAGCTTTATTTGCTTCAAAAACTTTAAAAGTGGACATGTTGTGAGTGTTCGAAAAAGGATGGCTCTTCTCAAGACTTCAAAAGAGCTTCGAAAAATGAAAAACAAAAGCGCGGATGATCAACGTTTTAATATTTTCTTTTTCAAATCGGTGTTTTCCTCGTTTGCGTCGTCTGGTGAGTTGTGAGAACGCACGCCTATGTTTAAGCGCTCGAAACATGTCGACTTTGTCTAACCCTACAATTTTCGAAGCTGATGAATTTCTTACATTATCGAACAAGAAAAGGTTTGTTGCATATTACCAGCACTTTAAAGTAATAAGGTATCTTTATCAGGTCTATTGCATATAAAATTGAATAATTTAAATGTTAAGGTCAACCAGAATACTGATACATAAACTTAATTTTATGCTACCGCAATGCACCATTAGAAAAATATTTTCAATTTTTATAGTTAAAAACATTTTTAAAACCAACACAAATATAATTGTTTCATCCAAATTTAATCCAATTTTCCATTGAATTGGATCGCATTTTTGGAATACTAACCTGCCCATAAAAAGGAATACCAGGCTTAAAGTAATCAGCATCTTCTGTACCAAGAAATTCTATTGTCAAAGGAGATTTCATTACATTCTTCGTGATGGATTCGTTGACCACAATTTCTGAAACACAAAACTTTCTTTAAGACACAACTTTTATTGTGTGTATTTTAATACTATTATTTAACGAGAAGGCGAAGTAATCATCGCTCTTAATCTTTGACAACTTATACAACGAATATAATTCTTAAAATAGTCTAATCTATTTTTTTCTATTAAACGATGTTGATAAGAAGCACTACAGGTGTCGACTTGCTACGACCAATCTGAGTGCAATATCCAACTATGTACATATGAATGTTATAACTTTGATATCCACATTATAGATTGGTTGCTGCTGCTGTCAATGGCAGGTGATAGATCGTTGTGAGCTTTTTGATTGTGAAAGTTGTAAGTAGTCGTAAAATCTGCCAATGGAAGGAAAAGATAGAAGGCTCGCCGATGTAGTGAACGCTGGTTCGAATTCCATAAATCCCGGAATTCATATCGACTAGACATCGCTGAATTCGAACCCTAAACTAAAAACTAAACTCAATGGCGCGATAGCCCATAGAGGGTCAGGGCCTACTGTGCCCATCTCAGTTTCCTTGACCTTGGGCTCTGGGGTGCAGGAGCAGATGTTCGGGTCAGGTGGTCAGCCGAAAGCGGAACCCCCAGTGTTTAGTTCCCAAGCATGCTTGGTACTCATTTATCGACCCACTGAAGGGATGAAAGGCTGAGCCAACCTTGCCCGGTTCGAGGATCGAACCCAAGACCTGTGGCACGGGAGAGCGAAACACTACCACTCAGCCACCGGGTGGATTCGAACCCAGTTCACCTTTTTGGAAGGTGACTGCTCTATCGCCTGGAAGTTACACGAGTTTTGATTAGTTCGAAAAATAATTGATATATTACCTGTTCCATTTTCGATGACTTCAGCGAAAAACTCCAACGCTCTGCGGTGATACTGCCCCTTATGCATTTGGAGAGAGTAAGTGCTAACAGTGATGTTGTGACAGCCTGAAATCTATAAAAGTTATTTTAATTTCAGGAAGGAAATACATTTCATAATTAATTAGTATACGTTGGTAAATACATTCGATACTAACCTCTACATTGCAAGTATTAAACGCGTTACCAGCACGCACTTGTGGAGTCTACAATCTCTTAAATGAAATGCAGAGAAATAAGCTCAGAAGGAATACACAAAATTGACGTTCGTTAGAACCCCAACTAGTTTTCGCTAATCTATATATAAAACGCTAATACGTACGTATGCATCAATAAAACCGATAATATTTCTTTTCTCGCGTTGGCAACAGTTTTCATTTTTAATTGATATGCTTCGGCGCGCAAGAGCACGTAGTGAGCATCATATGGCTAATCTATATTATATAAAACGCTAATACGTTTTAATTGATAGGCTTCGGCACGCAAGAGCACGTAGTGAGCATGATATGGCTAATCGGGTGAATTCTCACCGAATTATCAAAATTATCTTCATCGAAGCCGATGCTTTACATCCGGCTTTCAGTATTATTTCATATTGTTTTACAACACATGGTTTTAGCCCTCTGGTGGGAAAGACTTTAAAACAAAACTTACAACAGTTACTTTTCTCAACAACTGAAATTTAGAATAGTGTGATTAAGAAAAATATGTGAACTGTTTGCAATTTAAAATTAATATTGAAATGCACAGGTTTAGAATTTTCTACAGTGAAAAGTTTTCGGAACTTCAGTGTTCAAAAAAGTATACAAAAGCTAGTCGTTAAGAACGTATCCAATAAGCGAGCAAAGCGAGCATCGGATTGCGAAGCAATCCGAAATGAACTGCGAAAGCAGATCCGGGGGTTGGTGAGCCCCAGCGAGCAGGGGGCGAAGCCTCCTAGTTTTTCATTATTTTAATTTGTAGTTTTATAATTAAAATAGTATATTACGTAAGTCATACAATATTAGAAACTCTTTGAGATCTACATGCATTTTTCCAGTGCGCAAAATAAGAATGCAAGCGTTTAACGTTTACTTTTACAGCAAGTAAAAAACAGGATTTTTTATACACAATGACGTTTGGCCTAGTGATCAGATTTTCACGTTCGGACCTAATATTAATGGTTCAAAGAGATATTCTCAAATATGATAATTAGTCAGTATAGACGATATTTTAAGTTACAATTTCAGGCACAAAAACGTACTTTCTCGAGAAAAACATTCCTTTTTTGACAAAAATTAAGATTTCTGACTCCCAAAATATAGAGAGTAGCCGCAATCTTTGAAATATGGTCCTAATAGTTAGAACAAGAAAGCGGTCGCCTCTTAATGATAATTTTACTTTTTATGTAATTAACCGTATTTCGAGAACTTTTGAAGTGAATTGAAACAGTTTTGCGCGTAATATAATTCGTTTATCCAAAGATAATTTCATGCAAAAAATAATTTCCAATAATTATTTATTATTTTTTTATTTAATAATTATCGAAAAAAGTTTTGAATCGCAAAGTATACAAATTTTTGCATTATTTAAAAAAAATGTCATTTTTTAAAAATAAAAATACACAAAATTTTAACGAAATTGAATTATGAATTAAAATGTCATTTAGTTCCTGATAAACCGATTTTTAATATATCTGTATTTTTTTTACATTGGTTAAGTAAAATTTTCTAATATCTCTCCACTTGAATCATTAATTTACTCATCCTTTCAAATAACAACCTTATGACTACAAATGAAAACTTAAGTACCTATGTACTTAAGGTTTCGAAAGCAAATCAGGAAAAACGGAGAAAGTTGATAGCATAGAACAGATCTTTAGCTTTAACTTAGTTTTTTTTCTTTTATTTATTGAGTGATATGTGGTTAAAGGTAATGTAAAGTAATAATATTTATGTAAGGAGGTGTTTTTCTGCGCATAACTGTACTTACGAGTCCAGATTGTTCGACAGAAGGAATCTGTTTGCTGTCCCATGACATTCTCTTGTAGCTCACTCTGGTTTTCAGTTTACCATCCACTTTCTTCCCGAATGTATACCTTAAATATACCAATAACAGTTCCATTACAAGAATATTTTAAGAATTAGATGATGGGTCGAGGAATGATATACTCTAAAAACTTAATTTTTTGTCCCTTCATAATGTCTCTATGTCCACAGTTACCAGAAAAACCTTTTTTTGTTGTTTTTGTCCTTTCATAATCTCTACGTGTCCAGAGTTCCCAGAAAAACATTACTTTATTTTGTTTTTGTCCTTTTATAATATCTCTATGCCTACAGTTAATCAGAAAAACCTTTTTTTGTTGTTTTTGTCCTTTCATAATCTCTATATGCCCACAGTTACCAGAAAAACATTATTTTTTGCTGTTTTTGTCCTTTTATAATATATCTTTGTCTACAGTTACCAGAAAAACATCACTTTATTTTGTTTTTGTCCATTCATAATATCTCTATATCCACAGTTACCAGAAAGAGCTAACAGATCTAAAAATGTTAGTGATATGTTGCAAGTCACAAGCAAAGTGTGGGATGCCATTCCCATTTACTGGAATTTTTTAGTGCCTAGTCAAAGAATAGATCTGATATTCACCACCTCTATTTTGTATTTTTGTCTTAATATTTATCAATTTATACGTTACACATGCGCATACCTGCCAACTTTTGATCTCTTCGAAAATGATTTTTCAAACTGGTAGTAATGTGACAAAAAATGACATTGACAAGCAAGAATCTATATATATATTTCTCTTACACGGCACCAAAAAAAAGCCTCATTAAAACTCCCCGAATGGCAACGTTAGAAAATCGGCCAATGATTGCTGCTAAAAATGTCACATGGCAAATGTCACATGAGGTGGCTCAACATATAGCGCTTTTAAAAACGGAAACAATAACCAGAGTGAGCATTATCAGGTTGTTCAATTCAGATTCATGCCCTAAAAACATGATAATATTTAATTTAAACTCAATTAGGAATTAATTAGGCTGGCCTTCTCCATGACTATAAATAAGTCACAAGGTCAGACTTTTGAGAAAATCAGTTTAGTATTGACTAAACAAGTTTTTAGTCATGGACAACTTTATGTTGGCCTGTCAAGAGTTAAGTCATTTGACAGCCTTTCAGTAATTGCTCCAAGATGCCAAATCTATAATTGTGTTTTCAAAGAAATTCTAAATGCTTAGTGTTAATTTCTTAGAGCTTTGCAGAAAAAAATGTTTTTTGGAAAAAATTTAATTGAAACTTCTATTGGCAGTAGGCAAGGGGAACTGCCAAAATCAAAACTCCCCGATTAGAAATGCAGCATGGCGACCTCCACGTGGTATTTCTCGGGTAATGCTAACAGCCATGCATTTTAATTTATTGTATGTAAAACATCCTTATTTTGTTCTAAAATGTTATGTACTTTATCACAAATGTTAATTAATATAGAAATTGATTTCAATAATGCTGATCACCAAAAAATATTTCATTTGGCGATAAAACAAATTTTTGTGTTCTTGAAAATGAAAGACTTTTTGAGGGTTATTATCTCACAAGGAAAAGTTAGGGTTTAAAGTTTATATTTTTAAATAATAAAATTTTTTTCTAAAACTTTCAGAATTTCTAGCATTAACTAATTTATTATACACATTTAGTTGAATTTAGGTGAGTAACTGCAATATTTGATAATTTATTTTGCTAATATGTTTCTCATTTAGCTAATGTTTTGATTTTTTCACCATGTACAATCTAAATAGCTAATATACTTTTTTAAAAGCCAATAAGAACATTGATAGAATTCTTCTACATAAGTACAATACTATGTCTTTGATGATAAAATACTATGTCTTTGATGATAATATACTATGTCTTTGTGCTAGAACATTGTGTTCATTGGCGAGCGAGCGCAGCGAGCCATGGTTCATGGCGTGAACCACATAGGATTGCGTAGCAATTCTCGGGGGTTGACGAGCGTTAGCGAGCAGGGGGCAGAGCCTCCTAGTAATTTTATATTACTCTAAGCTACCTATACGAACTCGTTATCTGAGTGCCAGCCAATCGAATGGCTTTAACTCATTCGGGTTAGTGAGGAATACAATAAAAATTGCGAATAAACGCATCAATAAAAATTATTCTAAACTAACGTATTATATTTTAATTTATATATATGATAAATTTTTATGAAGTGGTAGTCAAAATTATTTTAAATTATATTTATAAAGAAAGTAATTAAATTTAGAAACATAAACTTTGTTACCGTTTTAAATATAAAAGTTAGCCTGCCAGCAAAGGGATTCAACCACTGAGGATATGTTATGTTAGCACTGTGGTCAGTGCCAGCCGGTTGCAGAATACATATCGACCAACCACCACTGGGATTCGAACCTATGTTACCTCACTGTGAGACGACTGCTCTATCTTTTGAGCCATCGTGGTCTTCGTGAACTTTTAGAGCGTTTAAATTGTATGTAATTAGTAGAATCTATGCACGAAGAGTTAAAAATAGAGATTTAGAAATTCATAAAGAATTATAAATTTTAGAGTCGAAATTTTAATTTCGTAACTTTTTTTTATGTATGAACTGTAAAGTTTTCTGGCTGAATTGAAAGTGTTTCTTCCTTAAACTTAAAGATTAGCGATAATAAAAAGTTTAAAACCGTTTCACTATCAGCTTTTTTAATCTCTATTGTTAAAAGGTTTGTTTTGCATGGAATTCCATTTATTGTACAAATTCATTGTGTATTTTAGAATGTACTCTTCGCTATGTTTTAATACTTACCAGCCAGGGGTTTTGACAAGTATTGTCGGACATTTTGATTGATGGTGGTTTGTTTTCATTTTGTAATTCGGCAGCATTAAGTTTGTTTTGCATGGTATTCCATTTATTAAATCAATTCAATGTGTATTTTAGAATGTACTCTTTGCTACGATTTAATGATTAAGTTTTAATGCTTACCAGGCACAGATTTCGACAGGTATTGTTTCAGCATCGGCCATTATGATTGATGGTGGTTTGATTTTCACTTCGAATTTCGGGAGCACTAAAAATTGAAGTTAGAAAACAAATTTTAGAACAATATTTTTTTAAGCCTAATTAAACGCTTTCCATATAATTTGTATACTTCAAGAAAAGAAATTCTAACTGCGTTTTTACAGACTTACGGGATCTAATTTTACCGATCAGTTAAATTTTTATTTAAAAAATTGAATCTTTTTTTAAAGTAAAAGGAAGTAGAATGAAGAGTTTCAAGGAAAAATGGTTGAAATAATATTCTAGATCGATTGGCAAAATCAAAAATTTATGATATATCAACAAGTTTCAAATTTTTATTCAAATCAATAGATGTTTTTTTCATGACTTTATTTTATCAAAATCAAGAATTATCGATTGTAAAACTAAGAAAAAAATCTTTTAACTATGCCAATCTTAATAAGTTAATGCAGAACAAAATTTTAAAAGTTTGTTCTTAAGAAAACATTTTTTAGATACTTACTTTTCGAATAGAAACAGTTCAACAAAAAGAATAAAAAAATGAAATAAAGTTAAAAACAATAAAAATTTATAAAGTTTTTCAATTACCTAAATAGTTTGGAATGAATTAAATTCATATTTTACTGCTAAATAATTAAAATTTTCATTCAAATTATGTTAATGATTATTTAATTTCCCTCCAGAGAAAAGTAGGAGTAAAGATTTAAAAAATAACAAGACTTATTCTATAAATATGCATAATTGTCGAGCAGCGTCATGTCCAACCATAACCAGCATATAATAAACAGTCTAAATAACAATTTCAATTGTTAAATTGTTGTAGCATTCACGGACAGTATTCTTTTCCGCTGTCCGGCTGACCTTCCAAAAATAGATAGCAGCTATCCACTGTAGATATCTTATCCAAAATAGATACTTTATCTACTGATGCAACATAGATGCAACATATCACCTTTGAACATTCCGACTATTAACTGTTGTGTATATTAAACATTTAAAAATGTATTCTCACCGTATTTCTCGACTTCAAACCTTTGTGCAGTGGTGACCTCGTTGATGACTGTCTTTATGTTCCACAATCCTAGTGGAGGCTCATTAGACAACGGAAGTTCCAGCTGCACCATTCCTAACAATAAGGAAGAAATAATATATTAATATATATATTGTTACTTGTGTTATTCATGCAAAGTAAAATTTTACGAACTTCTATCCCTCCCTCCAAAACCATTCACATGAGTATTGGTAGTTCCAACCTATGAAACTATTCGCTCGATTTTATGTAGTGTAACCCTTAACAACTTACTAAGAGTAACTAGGAGAGATTACTAAGATTATTTTTTCCCTTGTTGAGTTACTAAGAGATAGTTATTAAGATTAGTTTTTTAATAAAAAATTGTTTTTGGAAATTTTAGAACACTCTCTACAGTGCATATGTAAAAAAAAAAAAAATCAAATAAAAATTAGTTTTGGTGAGTAAAACCCTTATAATTTCTAAAATATTTATACAATTTTATTACCATAATAGAATTATTTGTCAAACGATAACTTGTATTACTTATTTACATTACTTAAAACTAGAAAATATGCACTTTGTTTTAAAACAACGTCCTTTTACATATTGACAAAGGTAGATTTTTGTCACTATAAATTGTTGTTGTTGTTGTTGCTAATTTACGTCGCACTAGAGCTGCACAATGGGCTATTGGCGACGGTCTGGGAAACATCCCGGAGGATGATCTGAAGACATGCCATCACAATTTTGATCCTCTGCGAAGGGGATGGCACCCCCGCTTCGGTAGCCCGGCAACCTGCGCGTGAAATAAATTGTTTCATTTACGCTTTCTCAGAAGAGTACCTTACTGACGCTGCACTAGAGCTGCTAAATGGACTGTCGGGGACAATATGAAGACATTCTTGAGGATAATCCGAAGACTTGCCATCACAATTATTCTGATCTTCTGCAGAGGAGATGCCCATACCCCCTTTTCAGAAGCCCGGTGATTTGAGCGTCAAATTTAGCACTTTGCGATAGAATAATTTAACTTGGACCGATTTGTTGTTGTTGTAGTTCATTTTTGTCGCACTAGAGCTGCACAATGGGCTATTGGCGACTGTCCGGGAAACATCCTTGAGGATGATCCGAAGACATGACATCACAATTTTGATCCTCTGCAGAGCGATAGCACACCAGCCCGACGACCTGCACGCGAATCGAGCACTTTACTGTAGAACAGTTAAACGAGGACCAATACTGCACACCTTCGGTCCCTACGCAGACTAATCCAAGTGGTCACCCACCCGCATACTGACTGCAGCCAGTGATGTTTGACTTCGGTGATTTGTTGGAAATCGTGTCTTAACGATCAGTCCAATGCGGAACAACTTGGACCGATACCGCTCAACTTCTGTTTCTTTGTAGACTGATGAAAGTGGTCACCCACCCGCTCACTGACCGCAGTCAGGCACTACGGTGACTAAGGGGATCTACGGGGAACCGTGTCTTATGATTCATTCATTGGGGGACCATTTTCGGTTCGGGAAGAGGTAAACACAAACCCTCCAACTACTCTACGAGGTTTCCATATTTTCAGAACTGTTTTTATCAAGTGATTCAGAACAAATTATTTAAACAGATATATACAAGGTAAACGGTATCAACGATCCACTGATTCGAATCTCGCTGTGACTATGAATGTATCTTTGTGGTACTCCTCTCTTTTTTGGTGCTATCTGTTCTTCAACTGGAGAAGGGCTTAGAAGCCGTCTTAATAATGAACCAACAAGTCTGATGATGTTCGTGCAACAATAAAATGAAAGGGTCAAGTTCTAATGAGAAATTTCTGCTTTAGTGCGCAGCCACTGAGAGAAAATATTTCACGAAAAACCAAGCTGTTGAAATGCATGTTAATATTATATATATATATATGAAATTATTGACAATAGTTTATTTTAACTGTTTATGTTTTGAAATACTTATTCTTCTCAATACCATTGATTTTTTTTAAAAAATATTCCAAGCTCTGTTTTTATTTTAAAACAAATTCGCAAAAGATAGCGGCTGATGAACTTTGATAAAATATTTTTCGGGAGCAAGAGACTGATTGATTCTCCATTCCGATTCTTGTTTACTATGATTTGTGATTGGAATGAGGACGCACAAGCATTTATTTGAAAGAGTAAGCACAAAATCGAAATTCCTGATAACCAAACTCGTTGCTTGCTACGAATGATAACGCTTCTCAACTAAAAGGGAATTTTTGTCAGTTTTCCACGACTAACGTAAGCGCACTTTATGCAGAGATATCAAGCGCAAAACTATAAAACCTACTATGACCGTTACTCTCTCAAAAGCATATAATCTAAGTTTAAACTGTGAATTTTATGATTAAAATGTTCCCAAACAAATATTATAAAAATTGAAATATTAGACACCTCGCTGTAATTTTCTGTTCCGCAGGTTCCCACGTAGGTTCCCAGTAGAACACCGAAGTCCAGCATCTCTGGTTACGGTCAGTAAGCGGGTGGGTGACCACTTTAGAAAGCCTGCGTAGGACCGAGAGCGAGCGGTATTGGTCCTCGTTAAACTGTTCTGCCGTAAAGTCCTCGACTTCGAGCGCAGATCTTCGGGCTACCAAAACAGGGGAGAAATCCCCTCTGCGGAAGATCAAAATTGAGATGGCATGTCTTCGGATCATCCTCAATGATATTTCCCAGGCTGTCGTCAATAGCCTATTGTGCAGCTTTAGTGCGACGTAAATAAAAGTACCTAAAAGTACGTACCTTTTACCTACCTATAATTTGCTTTTCCCTATAATAACCCCCCGTGCTTATAAAGAAAAGTAATCACTCTTTTAAATAAATTACTTATTTATGTTTGTGATTATTTCACGATATGTCCATTTGAGTTTCGTTTTACGATATTTCGATATTTGTAAAACTCTGTTGCATGATATTTTATCTTTGTGAGTATTTAAACGCGACATTTAATACACGATGTTCTACACGATGTTTTGACTTTTTAAGATTCTTTTACGCGGTATTTTGACTTTTTGAAATTCTGTTGCACGATATTTTGACTTTTTGAAATTCTCTTGCACTATATTTTGCCTTTCGTTGGATGAAATTATGTTGGATGAAATTTTGCTTTTAGGAGAATCTACACGATATTTCTGCTTTATGAGATTTTATTGGATGATTTACTTAAATAAGTTCAGTGTCTAATAACGATATTTTGTCTCCGTGATAACACGCTCCCATAATACCAAATTTTTCAGGGATCTAAATTACTCTAAGCTACTTTCTTATTTTCATTAATGATTTTTTTTACTGACTACTTGTCGAAAAAAAGCACACATTAATGAAATTTCTTTAAAGATATAAACAACACACAAGGGCCAATTTCTAACTATTTTGTGTCTTATCCGAGCAACTGGCTTCAGCGTGGTTGCCATGGCACCCCAGGAGAGTGCTGTATTAAAGTATACGTTTTGCTACAGCTGGAGAAGCAGTAAAAGAATGAGAAGTTAATAACTGTAAAATTCTAAACAATGTTTTCGCAAATTTATGTTTTGTCTTAGAAAATAATCTTTGACTATCTGATACTTAGAAAATGGTTATTATGTCTATAGAAAATGTTCCATATTGCCATAAAAATTTTACGCATGTAATTTTAAATGTTTTAAAATATTTTTTTTATTCCGTTTTTCTCTATCTATATGAATTTTAATACCCAACAAATTGTTATCTTTGAATAATCTTGTTGTATTGTATCAGTACTTTATAACGATAATTTGTCTCTCTGATACCACGCTCACATAACACAATATTTTTCAGGTATTTGAATTACTATAAGCTACTTTCTTATTTTCATTGTCATAGCAAAACTATGTTTTATCTTAAAAAATAATCTTTGACTATCTAATACTTAGAAAATGGTTATTAAGTTTTATATTGCAATGAAAATTTTAACTGTTAAAATTATGTTTGTGTTCCGTTTTGCTCTATAAATATAAATTTTAACAACCAAGAAATTATTGTCTTTGAACAATATTGCTGTATTGTCAGTTCTCTTGTCTTAATGCACAGCACATTTCACATGTATCACACTGCACAATATTTTTGTAAGATATTTTTTCTACATCTACATTTTTGCCTTTTAAATTTTTATTTATGTATCCCAGAGCACAAAATTTTTGGTGTCGAAAACTCTTTTACGAATCGAGACAAATTAAAAAATGGCGACTACTGTTGAAATGAATGACAAGATTTCGCTACTCAAATGAAAACGGAAAACTATCAGAGGTAATATTACTCGTGTTTCAACTGACATTAATAATTCAAAAGATGATTTTTCAATTGAAGATATCAAATACCAAAATTATCTTTACAACTTCAAAAATTCATAACTTCGAACATAAACAAGATATTTTTATTCTGTCTTTTGCATGTATTACTGCAACTAATAAAGTTTTCTTTTTCAATAGGCTGAAAAGTTTTAAGTGAGGATGTGGACACCACAACAGAAAGCTCAATGCGTCTCATGGCCGTATTCGCTCCACATTTTCTGGACTTGTGCTGGGTCGTCCGGCTCCACTTTTATGCAATACTGATCCGGTGCTCATGAAGCTTGTGTGCCATGCACGGATGGAGGGTCTGGATGGTGGGTCTCTTTGGAAATTTGTCCTGAAGTTCCGTTGAACCTGTGTATCTGATTTCGTCTCTATGAACCATGAGACGCATTGAGCTTTCTGTTGTGGTGTCCACATCCTCACTTATAACTTTTCAGCCTATTGAGAAAAAACTTTATTAGTTGCAGTAATACATGCAAAAGACAGAATAAAAATATCTTGTTTATGTTCGAAGTTATGAATTTTTGAAGTTGTAAAGATAATTTTGGAACACCCTGTATATTTGTAATGGCTTAACTACTGCCTTAAACGAAATGAAATTAACACATAACGACAAGGAAAACGATATTCCACAATGTAAAAGCTATACGGATACTGCTGAACTAGCAATTTTTTTTAAGGCTCTTAAAATTAGTCAAAAAAATTATCGCCAACTATGAATAACTTTTCTGCTAATAATGAGAATTTGGCGACGAATTAAAAATGCAATAGTAATTGACTTACCTTCTTTAAATTCTATTTTATGCCACTGAGCCACCCTAATACCACTGGGATCTTCTATCCAAATGTCGCCAACCTAAGACAAGCTTAAATTAGAGGTTGTTATTACAATTTTGTTTACTATACACTACCCTACAGTATTGGAAGAGACACTTTCAGTTTTTGCCACTTTTTTTCTCAAGAAATACTTAGAAGATTATTTTGTAACTTTTGAGGTGTGTTTAGTTCATGCGATTTCTCATAGTTATTAATAATGTTGAAAGCTTTCAGAGGCTTGAGAGCGATGGGTCATAAATTACGAACGAAACAAGTATTTTTGAACATCCTGTGCCAAAAATATAGAAGGAACCTTGTAATTTGTAACGATTACCTTGGTTGTTATTTGCAACATTTGCATAAAATTTCCTTAATCTAGCTTAAATATTTATGGAGGTTTTGATATCTTTATAGAAGAAACTAATATTTTTTGTCTAATGTTTTTTTTGCTATAACTTTAACAAAAGTTAATAATAATATAACAAAACTTTTGAAGTAATTTTAAATTAATAACAAAATTATCGTTTAAAAATTTGAATTTTTTAAAAAAAAAATTGAGGTATGAGCATTTAAAGTAATTCTTTCCTATTGCGCATGCGTGAAGAAATTTAAAATAAAATCATGATTTTGTAGTGAATCATGTTTGGTAACTAATAAAAAAATCTAATTTGAATATCTTGGAGATACAAAAATTTTCTAGCAATTTTTTAAGTAGTTTTTGTACTTTTTAAAAGAAAACTCTAAATGATAAAAGGATTTCACATATTTTACTTAGTATCATGAAACAAAATCTATTAATAAATTATACCTAATCCGTAATGAATCATCCGTATGACAAAATGTGATTCTCGAAGGAAAGAAAACATACTTTTAGATTGATAATCCAACACGATGCCGGTGTTATTTTTAATAAATCCTGTTTAACAATACACGATAAAATTTGTGAAAAACCCTTTATCATTAAGGCTTTCTGTATAAAAAGAAACACAAAAATTGCTCAGAGAATTGTTAGAAATATTTTAAAATTTCAAATCGGATTGTTTTCATTAGTTTCTAAAAAAACCGCACTACATTGAGACGAAAAATTTTTTAAAATTTTTTCGCTCGATCACATTAAGAAGTAGTCACTTAATGCTTATATCTTGTGCAATTTGTGAAGAATCTTAAAATGATAATTTTGTTATTAATTAAAAATTGCTTCGTTTAATTTTGTTGAATATTTTTATGTTACAGCAAATAAACATAAGACAAAGGATTAGTTTTTTTATAAATTTAATAATGAAGCTTTAAGGCATTAGAATATTTAAAAAAAAGCTCTCCTACAAAATTAAAATAATCTTTATTATCTTTTTTTAAATAAAATTTGAGTATCTTGCTGGAAATAATTAATATTTTATCATAGAATAATATCTGCATACATTTACATAAACTAATTTAAATTTTATATTACGATATTTTATAACCTTTATTGAACGACCAACCTAATTTTGCCTTTACGATTACGAATGTTCAAATCCGTAGCCTTGTAATTTTGAACTCAATCCAGAATACAAGGGAATCCTTGCTCAAGTATTAGGCGAAATTCACCTTCGTGGAGGACTTTTTTGATGGAACTAACGTGCATTTGCGTTACATGGAAAAGAAAACCCCGGAAACCTCCCACGGCTAGTCTGGCAGTAGGGAGACTCTATCCCATGATCCGTTTACCACTGAGGAGATTTTGCGTCAGCACTGTGGTCGGTGTGAACCGGGTGCGGAATTCGAATCGACCAGACATCGCTGGGATTCGAGCCCGTTCACCTCATTGAAAAACGAACGTTCTATCCTCTAAGCCACCTCTCTATATTTAGATATTGATAAATGTACATCCTGCAATGAAATTTTGAAAATTAATCATGCTTTTATGCTCCCTCCAGAGATTACATTAATTGAGTTTGCCTCGTGTACCCACAGTCTCGGCATAGCAGAATATGTATGCCATTAAGACGGAAGTGATAAGAAACTAGTAAAGTATTTTTTACTTCTGTTGCATTAGAGAATATTTAAAACATAAACTTACTCGCAATCGCAAATTTTATTTTGAATAAACTTTTCCCTAACTTAAATTACTAAATATTCTTACATAGAATTTTTCTCTGTTATTGAACTGAGAACTAGCTTTAAGGACGTTTCTTTATGTTCAAAATAAATGTTTATGTTCACTTACATACAAGTATGAAATGTTTACTCACCGTATTTGGTTCTAGTGGTCTCAACTGATTGTCCATTGGTAGAATTCTGAACTTGACTGAAAAACAAACACGATATTTGAGTTTTTCATAAAAATAAAGTTTCTAGAGATTAATACAAATTCATGTTCTCACTGATACACTTACTCTAGAGATTATTATCCTTTGTTAAGAATTCGTGTTAATTCAACAAAGCATCTAGCACAATAAAAATTAATTTCTGAAATCACATTTGATAACTTTTAATGCTTGTTCTCACTGATGCACTTACTCCAGTGATTGTTTGTCAAGAATTCGTGTTAACTCAACAAAGCAAATAGCATAAGAAAAATTAATTCTTGAATCATTATTTGATAATTTTTAAGGCATGTTCTCACTGATGCATTTACTTCAGTGATTATTAATCTTTGTCAAGAATTCGTGTTAGTTCAACAATGCAAATATCATAATAAAAATTAATTCTTGAATCATAATTTGATAACTTTTAATGCATGTTATCACTGATGCTCTGACTCCAGTGATTATTATCCTTTGTCAAGAATTTGTGTCAATTCAACAAAACAAATAGCATAAGAAAAACTAATTCCTGAATCATTATTCGATAACTTTTAATGCATGTTCTCACTGATGCAGTTACTCCAGTGATTATTATTCTTGGTCAAGAATTCGTGTTAATTCAATAACGGAAATACCATAAGAAAAATTAATTCTGGAATCATTATTTGATAACTTTTGATGCATGTTCTCACTAATGCACTTACTCCAGTGATTATTATTCTTTATCAAGAATTCGTGTTAAACAAAGCAAATAGCACAAGAAAAATTAATTCCTGAAATCATTATTTGATAACTTTTAATGCATGTTCCCACTGATGCACTTACTCCAGTGATTATTATTCTTGGTCAAGAATTAGTGTTAATTCAACAAAGCAAATAGCATACGAAAAAATAATTCCTGAATCATTATTTGATAACTTTTTTCAAATGATTTTGTATTGTTATTGAAACTAGAATTGAAACAAACGAAAATAAAACTGTAACACGTGATGTTTGTTCACTTAACTATTTGCAATTAATCGTGTGCGCGTAAAAAAAAAATCACTTCTATAATTTTTGATCTATTATTCGGATTTTTACTCGCAAGGACTTAATTTTAATTCTTCGAGAACTTAACCTGAAATATGCCTGATTAATTTATGCAGACGAAATCAAACACATAAACGTATTTTATCTGATTATAAATAAGTTTTTTCAACGAATTTAGACTTTTGATCGTCAAAATATGAAGGGTAGCTGCGATCTATAAAGTAAGGTAACCATGGTTTTAGCAGGAGAATGGGCAAAAGTTTGAACCCTTTAATTTCTACTTTTTGCGTATTTCACCATATCTCCAAGAGTAAATAAAAGTTAATTAAAAGCACATTTATAAAATTTTGAATCAAAAGATAATTCTACATAAAATTTGTTTTAGAATTATTTATTATTTAATGTCGGTCAAACTTTCGATCAAAATTGTTGGGATAATACTTTCCAGATTGCATATGATAGAGAGGAGTATCATGTCTCACCTATTTGGCCTGGTTTGTAGATCGGCTTGTCTGTCTGTACAAAAGTAAGAACGGAGCTGTGACGTATGTGTACTTCTTTTTCTGCCTTTATTCTGTAGCCATCGCTGAAATTTCCTTGAACCTGTAATTTTGCTTTTGAGACAGCTGGAATCGGAGGCACTTCCATTTCAACCCACATATTCATATCTACAAAAATTATAAAAGAAAGAAAATATCGAATAACCAAAAATTAACGATGCAATAAGAAAAATTAAATGCTTTTTAAGCAGGGATGTCATTAGTCATTTAACTCATGAGAGACTACTGTTAGTTGATATATTAGTTATAAACATAATATTATAATACTTAAATTACAATATTATATTATTTATATTATAATATTATATTACTTATATTGTAATATTATATTACTTATATTATAATATTATATTACTTATATTATAATATTATATTACTTATATTATAATACTTCTATTACATTTAAAAACAGATGAAGTACTAAAATTTTCTTTTAGACAACTTCAAATTTACTTTGTATCTTAATTAATTTTTTAAAAACTATATAAGTAAGCTTGAATATGCATTTATTTACATTGTATTTGGGTTTAACGGATTGAATCGAATCGAACATTAAATTTAAATAATAGTACTAGGGAACAATTATTATTATCCTTATTATTATTTCTACGAGAAATTTGAACGAATCTTAGATATATCCGGGTGGCTGATTTCTAATCGGTTTATCTCTACAAGTGACAGTTTCTATGCAATTTAATAATATATTCCTATCCAGGATTGTTTTAAATTCATTCAAATGGATACTAAGAGTCCCCACATCTTTGATACGTAGGGAGTGCTAGGAAGAAGGTGATAACACACTTTAGTTTTTGAGTTATTTTCTGATATTATTTCCTGATACGTTAAGACCATATGTTTCTAGAGTTATTTTTAAAGGAACATACAAGTGTACATGCATGCATATAAGCCTACACGTTCTTTTTAAACTTGTCCATTCAGACAAAAAGTAAATTAAGCTCAAAATTATATTTTGAAAGAAAAAATAGCTTTTCGAACAAAACTAACCTCAGAATTGAAATCCTTACACCCAAATTAGGTAATCCTTACACCCGAATTAGGTAAGATCAGGTACTTTATAAATTATAACCGTCCTTGAACAGTTGATCCAATTTGGGGTTTACGACTGCTAATGTTCAACTCCGTAGCCCTGTAATTTTGAACCCAACCCAGAAGACAAGTGAAACCCTGGATCAGATATTGGGAGAAATCTTGCCATCGTAAAAGACTTTTTTGATGGAACTAATCCGAATTTGGTTACATGGAGAGGAAAACAATGAAAACTTCCCACGGTTAGCCTGACAGTAAGGGGACTCTAACCCATGATCGGTCTATCACTGAGGATACGTCAGCACTGTGATGGGTGCAAGCCGGATGCTGAATTCGTATCGACCAGCCATCGCTGGGATACGAACCCGGTTTACCTTATTGGCAGGCGAATACTGAGTCATCATGGCTCAAGATCAGGTACTTAATATAAATGCAACAAAAATTGTTTTTTCCGAGTGTAGATTATAAGGGGCTTTTTGCCGGTGCTCTTTTTCCAGTGCTTTTGCCCCCTCTTTTTTTTCCGGAGTCTCTTTTGCGGGATTCTTTTTAAAAAATAAAAGTTACTAAAAGTTTGTCACTACTCAAAAAAAGGGGCTCTTTATCCTCTTGCTATCTTAAAATTAAATTTCTTTATTAGGCATTCAAAGTAACGCTCCTTTCGTTTCGCCCAAAATTTCCCTTTGTTTTCCGCTGCTTTAGTCTAATCTAATTATTAGATCGAAAGTAATTCAAGGTATTTCCTTTCTTTTAAACCACTCCAATGGAATTGAATGCGAAAACAGGGGTGGCAATAACTTCGCTCCCTGCAAAAGATTTTCAAAAGTAGAAGAGAACTACAATGAATAAATAAATAAATCTGTCATAGTTGTTTCTCTATTAATCTTTTCAAGGGAGTTTGTATACAAACTATCTCACTTACTTTTGGCAGCAATATAAGCCACTAAAATTCTAATAGCTTTTATCTTTTCAAATTTTTGGTTTGTAACCAACCACTTTAAATATTTTAAAATATTATTGAATATTGTAACCCTCATCACTTGGAAGGTTCAAACGATGGTGGCTTTTTTTAAACTAAATTTTAGGTTCAACTTTTTCTGTTCCACAATGTGATAAATCCTCACTAAAAATGGCTTTTCATGTAAATTATTTATTTTTAGAGTTTAACAAAATCGCTTTTAATCAAATTAAGAATTTTAGACTAAAACAAATAGTCGTGCTGTTAGGAAAATGTCTTGATTATGTGGATCAAGATGGCATTTTCCCGAAACATCTAACATCATTACGAAGTGAAAATACCAATGCAATCTATCATCAATGCTTTGTGGAAACATCTTTGAGAGAGATTCTAACATCAGAATGAAAGGTCTTATATCAATGGGTAAAATATAACTTCAATACGAAAGATCTAACATGATTGCGATATGGATACATCAATACGAAAGATCTAACATGATTGCGATATGGATACATCAATACGAAAAATCTAACAATAATACTTTATGGAAAAAAATCTATACGAAATACCTAGCATCATTACGAAAGATCTTATAACAATCTGAAGAAAAGCATCAATACGAAAATTCAAACATCAATACAAAGTGGATTTGTCAATGATAAATATTTTATATCATTATGAAATGAAAACATCAATGCTAAAATCTGACATCAATATTTAAATTTAAAATTAATACGAAATATCTAATATCAGTACGAAAGATCTTATATCAATACGAAGTGAAAACATCAATGCGAAAAATATAACCTCAATATGAAATATTTAACCTGATTGCGATAGGGAAACATCAATACGAAAGATCTAACATCAATACTTTGTGGAAAAATCTGTACGAAATACCAAACATCAGTAAGAATCTAAAGAAAAGCCATCAATACGAAAAACCTAACAACAATACAAAGGATGTGACATGATTATGAGGTGGAAACACGAAAGATCTAACATGTTGTATAGATAGTACGGAATTAATGCGTAAATACAAGAAAATTTAAGATCAATACATAGTAGAAACATCGACACAAAAGATATTATAACAATCTGAAGTGAAAGCACCAATACGAACGATCTTTTAATTATTTCAATTTTTTTTATTTCCAATGCCCATCTATGTTAACATTTCGTCAATTCAGGCATTTTACTGGGCAGATTTGCTGGCCACTCTTTCAGGGTCACCCTATTAGGTGGGTCAACGTTGCTCCCACAGTAAGGACAGATAGTACAGAGACAAATAGTACATCCATGCCTTGCCCGGGATTCGAACCCAGAACCTTTCCGATGCATGGCCAGTTCCCTGATTCTTACACAGTCCGGTTGGCCTAAGAAAGATTTAACTCAATGCAAAAATTCTAAAATTCAAAAGATAACGCATCCATTTTAATTTGATGTTGAATTTTAGGGTAAATTATCATTCGTACTTACTATTTAAAACGTTGACTTCACTCTCAGCCAATAAGGTGTTCGTGTAATAGTTTAATAGTTTTAAAGAGACTACACCTCCAGGAGGGACATCAAACGCTGTGAAGGTAAAGTATTCTGTACTTCCGGCATCAATTAACTTTGGAGCCGTCAGAATAAATCCCCTGCAAAAAGAAACAAAGCTATTAAAATTATGTACTTCGAAGCATTTGCTTTTATACCAAACTGGTGGTACGCGTACCATTTTGGCACCTGAAAATATAACAGGTTACAAGCAAGAATTAAATATTTAATCTTGAATTTAACAAAATATCAGACACGAAAAAAATCTAATTATTAAGATTTTACTTCTATAGCCTATTTGGAAAAAAAATATCAGGTAAATCTTTACAAAATTCTTGTACTATTTTTTTTAATTCCTCACCTTTTTTTTTTTTTTTACTCAATCAAAACTTGGGTTTTTTATTCAATCAGAGCTGATTAGCCAGTTACAATTTTGAAGAAGGCTATGGCAACCTTCTGGTTTCCTTATTTCTTCACAAACTCCTATAAAGAGGTTGGAAAGGTTGTCAACTAAACACAGACCTTTTCTACAGTACATTTTTCGGTGATTTTAGGCTTTTACCCATTAACACCCAATTGCTAGGATGGAAAATATGTTTTTACAGTGCAGGTACAGGAGAAAATAATGCGAACATTTCTATACTAACTCTATGTAAACATTCTATCTTTCAACAGCAAATGTTTTTAAGATTTTACTGAGCAAAACTATTTGCGCAGTTTGAAAGATCATGCTCGAAGCTATTTGAAACAAAGTAATTTTTACCCATGTAAAATTCGGATCGACTAAATCAAGGCGGTTAATAACTTCACTTATCACATGGAACTGGGTACCTGTTCCGAAATACTTACTCTTTCTTCGTAAAAGTCAGTAAGGTAGATAAATTACATAAAAAAAGTGAAATATTCCTAATGGAAGAGGATATCGTTGTTCCTTTTAATTAGACTTTAAAGCAGGACGTAAATTTGAAGTGAATTTGATAGTAATCAATAAGACTCCGATATTTATAAAATAATGCTTTTAGAATTATGTTGGTATTAAGATGTTGAATGTCAGAGAAGCCAAGCAAGTATTAGAAACCCATAATTCGAGTAAATTTTGATTACACGAATGATAACAAAAATTAACTGTTTTGTTATAAATAATATTTCATCAAAATATGCGACGCATACTGAGAAAATTTTTTGGTCAGACGGGCAAGCCATGTAAAATTAGAGTGGCATTGAACGTGTTAAAAAAAAGAAAAGAATCTTTAAAATTCTTACGCTCATCTTACTCGATGCAAATTTTGTATGAAAAAGAACACCATTTCTAAAAGCTTCCAGCATGTTTTTTTAACCCTTTCTGAAGCAGTGGTAAGTATACTTAGCACCAATTTTTAAAGTCTATGGTGAACTTTTTTACCACTTTTAATTTAGGTTTCCATTCGTTAATAACTTCAACTTTCTTGAAGTGCGCTTGAATGAAATTGGCAACCATTTTTAAGTTTAAGGAAACGTTTAAAAGTTACAAAATGCATAATTCCTTTAGAAGATATTGTAGCATTTATAAAAAAATTACCATAAATAAAGAAAATAATAAAAGTCAATAAGTTCCTAATAGGTCATGTTAAATATGCTTACCACCAAAAATTTCATAAACTAAATGAGTTTTTTTCCTTACATCAATTACTATTCTTATAGCAATTTCAATTCCAAGAATACTTTCGTTTACCTTTACTATAAATTAAAGTGTTAAATTGTACCCACAATTTGGCGATTAAAAATCTTTCAAAACATTCGTTGCAAAAAGAAAGATTCTTTACATAGAACAAATATAGAAGTGCCCTACATTATTTTGTCCTGTAACTGCACATTAATATTTGTATCATGTGGATATTTTCTTGTATTCAATTTTTAATTAGCTAGTATTCAATTTTTAAACAAATCATAATTTTATAATTACAGATCTTAAGTGGAAGATGTTACTAATACATCATAAAAATATATATTTGTGTACAGTCGTCATAAAAAAAGAAACACCCATATAACTTTTAAAACGGTTGCTCGGATTATCTCATATATCGCAATATCTTATAGGATTCCTTTAAAATATGAATTACAGTTAACTGTAACCATGGTGGAATACATTAATTTTGACACAAAAATGCAGTTTTTTGAAAAAAACTGATTACTTTTTTTTTTACTTTATTCGATTGAGCATGCGAAAATAACCCCTGAAGCCAAATTGTATAAAATTCTGACAAGCCCCCCTCTAATGAATATTTGGAATAAAAAGTGAATGCAGGGGTCAAAGCCTTTACAGAGCTCTAAAAAAAATTCAAAAACCATAGCTCTAAAACTGTCAAACAAGCAAAATACTTTAATTTAAAAATAACAGCTGAACCTTTTTCAGAACTAAATATCAATACTTATATTGTTAACACAACGCGATAGTTTAAATAACTCGTTTTTATCGAAAACAACCACTATGCATAAAAACACAACTTATTACGTTACAACCACTAAACTAGCTTTCTAACCGTGTGTTTTAATTTTAATAGGAGTTCTCGACCTCAGTGAATGGAATGTCGCCAATTTTTCGACACAAGTTGAAAATGCATCACTTAATTTAAAAATTAATGGAATACAACTCGCTAGTAATTGCACTTTAAACATCTCATTTGCAAAATAAAATAAAACCCACACAGCGGCGTTAATAGGTTACATACAGATACATAGGTTACATAGCATATACAGATTAATATGCTGAAATCTGGATGCAACGAAATTATTTAATTAATATGTATTAATATTGGAAGACACATGGGCACCTTGTTAGGATAGACGGAAAATTTCTCAGAATGTTTTGTTAGTTTTGGGTTTGAGAGAAAATCCCAAATTACACACGGCTTCCAATCATTTCGGTGTTATAATCTCACGTTCCCTATTTCTTATCTTTCTTTAGAGGAGATTTCTGAAAGAGATTATCGCTTGATGAACCCAATAAATATCAAGGAAAATATTTTTGCACACAATTTAGATCAAGGTCTCTCTCCTCTTACTTGAGAATTGTTCCGAACTTTTTCAAAACTGATTAGCTAACTAGAGAAAATCCCTTTTTTTTTAGTGTTTTATAATTTTAATGAGTTGTGTAGAATTAACTCTTAGAGGAAATAGCACAAAATTAGAAGAAAAAAAATGCGCTTAAATGCTATGCTTACTTTTCTGAAAATATTTTATAAATTGGTAAAAAATTTAAACTTGCATAATTTTTGTTAATTCTGGTACAATTTAACCCCATAAAGAGTTACTTTAGTTTTTAAAATATACAATGAGCTTTATTTTTTATAAACAATATGCAAACAATTTATTTTTTGCAAAAATAGTTGGATAATAATATGCATCAGGCTACCACTTCATCTTCTTTATACACTGTAGAGACGAAGGTCGTCTCACTAAATCGCGTGAATGGCAACGAACGTGTTAAATGCATTGCTGCCAACTTTCACGATTTCTGCTACAGAATAAAGAATTTCTGCTAAAAATTGAATGGTAGCTAACATAAGAAAATACCCCCATGATACTAATAATAATGTACAGTTACAGAACAAAATATTGTGGACACTTCCATATTGATTGTATGTAAAGAATCTTTCCTTTTGCAACGAAAGTTTGGAAAAAACTTTAATGGTAAAATTGTGGGTACAATTTAACCTTTCAATTTCTAGTAAAAGTAAATGAAAGTACTTTTAGAATTGAAATTTTTACAAGAACAGTAATTGATATAAGGAAAAAAACTCATTTAGTTTTTAAAAATGCTATTTTTTTTGGTGGTAAGCATATTTAACACGACCTATTAGGAACTTATTGACTTTTAGTTTTCTGTATTTATGACAATTCTTTTATAAATGCTACAATGTTTTCAAAGGGAATTATGCATTTTTAAACTTTTATACGTTTCCTTAAACTAAAAAATGTTTGCCAATTTTATTCAATCGCACTTCAAAAAAGCTTAAGTTATTCACGAATGGAAACCTAAATTAAAAGTGGTAAAAAAGTTCACCATAGACTTTAAAAATTGATGCTAAGTATACTTACCACTGCTGTAGCAGAGTAAGAGTATTAACAATTTTTAAAGATTTTGCTAATGCTAGTTTGCTACTTTGCTAAAATAGCTAATAAGTAAAAAATTTTGCTGATTTCAAATCTAACATTAAAGCATAAAACTTACTACCACAAGTAAAAATCATAAGAGTTTGGAGGTATTTAAATACTATAAATATTCACCACAATTACATAAATCTTTATCAAATTATTGAGATGATCAGGAAAGCTTCATGTTATCTTCTTCATAAACATGAAATACATAATGTGACAAAAACTTATAAAAGTGACTAAAATAGCGTTTTATACCAATTTTATCCATTTGTGTCCATTTGTAATGCATTCTAGTCCAACTCAGTAGAAATCAAATTTAGAGCTTCAGAAACATTTATTTTTGTTGCAGAAGCATCTTAAAGGTCACCGGAATCAAGAAAAATAAATGATTATTAAACCAGTTGTTTAGTGTAACGTTCTTTAAGTGATTGGATAATTCCAAGGTTGAAGCTTGCTTGAGAAAATTGCACTCCAAATATTTCAATTGAACCCTTTTGAAGGCCGTGGTAAGTATACTTACCACCACGTTTTACCACTTTTAATTTAGGTTTCCATTTTTCAATAACTTTCTTGAAGTGAGTTTGAATAAAATTGGTAACCATTTGTCACTTTTAAAAAACGTATAAAATTTATAAAATACATAATTCCTTTTGAAGTTTGTAGCATTTGAGGAATTTATTTTATAAATAAAGGAAAATAAAAGTCAGTAAGTTCCTAATAGGTCATGTTAAATATATTTACCACCAAAAAATGGCATTTTTATAAACTAAATGAGTTTTTTTTATATAAATTACTGTTCTTAAAACAATTTCAATTCCAAAAATACTTTAATTTACCTTTACTAGAAATAAAGGGCCCGTTAAAGGGTTAAGCTTCCTTCTCGTGCTTTGGCCATCCTACAACCCTTCTGATTTTGATTCACGGCAGAAATTTCTTCTTTCAGACCAAAGGACAATAAGATAGA